ACAAAATATAGTAGGTTTTTGTCATGTTAAAGGCTTAATTATATTGCTGTCAACCAAGTCGATATTTTGATCAGCTCCTCTTTAACAATGGTGTTGATGGTTGCAAGATAGGGTGAGAAGATGACATAATCGTGTCGTCACAAAGAGAATGTTTCAGGTTTTGGGATACGTTTGGAAGATCAATATGTATATGAGAAGAGCCAGGGACCAAGGACACTTCCTGCGGAACTCCCATATCCAGTGGCCGTGTTGTTGATGCTGTTCTTTATTGGTGACATAAGAACCTATTAGTAAGTAATTATAATTATAATCAAGGGAAGCGCTAAACCCGGAGCATTATACAGCGCCTGAGGGGGGGATTGGATAGGCATTCAGGCTTAATTCGGGAACCTGGAGCACAGATCCAATTCCCTAAATCAAGAGCCCCTCACCAACATCAAGGAACCTTCCTTGATGGGATTAGTAAGGTAAGATTTGAAATAAGCAAGCGCATGGCATCCATCAATCTACTGACCTTCAGTTTTTCACTCGTCACACTTCCACTTTTCTCTCTACCTGCACACCTAACATTGTCCTTCTGAAGCCTACTTATTAGGCCACAATGCCATATTTGTTTACCTCAGGCCTTGAGATATAGGTAGAATTTTTGCAATTCAGCCAAATAAAGGCAGAGAAGCGTCTGATTATAACACTTATCCCACACTCCTCTCTGTGGTTAGTCAAAAGATCACGTTCTATAAATTCCTCAACCAAGCTACTTTCCTTTCCTAATTTAGGCAGCGGCAGGCAGTTATTACTGTTAACCACAGTGCCTAACGAAATGTAATAGAGAAGGGTACCTTGATACTGGCTAAATGTTCTTGATCCAAAGAACTGGCACTGCCCTTCCCTTTCTAGTATAAAATCTGATTAACTGAAAATCCCCAAGTGCTGTATGACCGCTATAAGTTGAGCACTCTCCAATTAATATAACAATAATTCTCTCTTCAAACTGGACCCTTCAAGGGAATGATGACGAAGGCCTTTTGATTTAATGACCTGGAGCTACTCTTTTTTCTGTTTTTTTTTTTTTTGGATCAAACCTGATTACCTCCCATTCTTCAGGCACTTCACTTGCTTATTTGTGGTTGCAGGGGTTATATGACCCTTACGGATTTAGTGCTTCCTTAATATTATTATAATGAAAAAGGTAACTCCTTAATAGCTGTTGCCACTTAAGATATTGTATATCCAAAAATCGCATTTGACTGCCTCATATTGCCAGTCTGGTGCTCAGTGGATATGGAGCCTACTCCTTGGCAATGCCATCACTGCTAACAGCATAGTCTTCCAGCAAATTGCTGCCAATAAACTGCTAAATATCTGCAGCTCTTGATAGCATAACAGAAATAGCATATGACTATGGAATATTATTATTATTACGATCAAAATTAAGTGCTAAACCCACCAGGATTATACAGCACTGCAAGAGTATGGGAGAGCATAGGGTGAATGTGGGAGGGATCTGGGAGTGTAGGATGTGTGAGAGGTGTCAGGGAAAAGTAGTAAGAGTGTAGAGCAGTCTGGGTAAAGAGAGAGAGAGAGAATTTGTGTGTGCATATTCACCTAGGTGTACTAACCGAGTTGTGGTTGCAGGGGTAGTCATAGCTCCTGACCCTACCTCTTCACTAGCCGCTACTGGGTCACTCTCCGTGTGTGTACTCGCCTAATTGCGGTTGCAGGGGTCGAGACTCAGTTCCTGGCCCTGCCTCTTCACTGAGTGCTACTAGGTCCTCTCTCTTCCTGCCCCATGAGTTTTATCATACCTCATCTTAAAGCTATGTATGGTTCCTGCCTCCACTACCTCGCTTGCTAAGCTATTCCACTTCCTGACTACCCTATGACTGAAGAAATACTTCCTAACATCCCTTTGACTCATCTGGGTCTTCAACTTCCAATTGTGACCTCTTGTTTCTGTGTCCCCTCTCTGGAACATCCTGTCTCTGTCCACCTTGTCTATTCCATGCAGTATTTTGTATGTCGTTATCATGTCTCCCCTAACCCTCCTGTCCTCCAGTGTCATCAGGCTGATTTCCCTTAACCTTTCTTCGTAGGATATTCCCCTTAGCTCTGGAACTAACCTTGTCACAAACCTTTGCACTTTCTCTAATTTCTTGACATGCTTGATCAACTGTGGGTTCCAAACAGGTGCTGCATACTCCAGTATGGGCCTGACATACACAGTGTACAGTGTCTTAAACAATTCCTTACTAAGGTATCGGAATGCTATTCTCAGGTTTGCCAGGCGCCCATGTGCTGCAGCAGTTATCTGGTTGATGTGTGCTTCCAGAGATGTGTTCGGTGTTATACTCGCCCCAAGATCTTTTTCCTTGAGCGAGGTTTGCAGTCTTTGGCCACCTAGCCTATACCCCATCTGCGGTCTTCTTTGCCCTTCCCCGATCTTCATGACTTTGCATTTGGCGGGGTTAAATTCAAGAAGCCAGTTGCTGGACCAGGTGTCCAGCCTGTCCAGGTCTCTTTGAAGTCCTACCTGATCCTCATCTGATTTAATTCTCCTCATTAACTTCATCATCTGCAAACAGGGACACTTCTGAGTCTAACTCTTCCATCGTGTCCTTCACATATACCAGAAATAGCACTGGTCCTAGGACCGACCCGTGGGACCCCGCTTATCACAGGTGTGTGTGTGTGTGTTAGGGTTTGGGAGAGCATAGGATATGTGGGAGGGGACCAAACTTGTAAAGACTCATACAATGATTGGGAAATTAGAGATACAGTGGTACCTTGAGCTATGAACTTAATTCGTTCCAGAAGGCTGTTCGAGTGCTGATACCGAATGAATTTCCCATAAGGAATAATGTAAATTAGATTAGTCTGCTTCAGACCCCAAAAATACACTTACAAAAGCACTTACATAAGACACTTACATAATTGTTCGATTTGGGAGCTGTTCGAAACTGTAATTAGGTTCACTCTTATAGGTCCAGTGCTTTAGGTCAAGAGCTGTCCATTTGGCATCAAGGTATGCCCATGAAGAGGGGTGGTCTTGGGTGCAGGAAATGTATGGAAGAGCATGGGAGGGGTTTGAAAGAGTATGAGATATATATGGGCCAAGTATAGTGTGATGTCCCCTGCTGTAAAAGGATGCTAAAAAACAAAAAAATGGCAGCAGTCACTATCATTCATTCAGTAGGTCTTACTAGAAGTGCACTCACATCACACTGATAATGACACTCTGAGCTGCAACTTGGAATTATATTATTAACACATCAGCCGTTTCCCACTAAGGCAGGGTGGCCTGAAAAAGAAAAACTTTCATCATCATTTACTCTGATAAATTAGACACATGTGCAACTCTTGGGTATCTTTATTGAGGAAACGTTTCGCAATAAAGATACCCAAGAGTTGCACATGTGTCTAATTTATCAACATGTCGGTTCTCTGAACCATTCATCTACAAATCATTTACTCCATCACTGTCTTGCCAGAGGCATGCCCACACTACAGTTAAAAACTGCAATATTAACATCCTTCCTTCAGAGTGCAGACATTGTACTTCCCATCTCCAGGACTCAAGTCCGGCCTGCCAGTTTCCCTGAGTCCCTTTATAAATGTTACCTGCTCACATTCCAACAGCACGTCAAGTCCTAAAAGCCATTTGTCTCCATTCACTCCTGTCTAACATGCTCACATATGCTTTCTGGAAGTCCAAACCCCTTGTACACGAAACCTCCTTTACCCCCACTCCCTCCAACCTTTCCTAGGCCGACCCCCTACCCCACCTTCCCTCCACTACAGATTTGTATACTCTCAAAGTCATTTTATTTCGTTCCAGCCTCTCTACATGTCCAAACCATCTCAATAACCCCTCAATAACCTCCTCCTAATCTTCAAACTATGGATTCTCTGCATTATATTCATGCCACACATTGCCCTCAGACATGACATCTCCACTTGCTTTAAAAATATTAATGCATACTTCTATGCTTAGATACAGGTATGAATGTATCTCCATTTGAGACATGAAGCTTGTACATAGTTTGTCAAAGTCTTCCTCCCTGTTGGTAAGGAGGTGGCTATGTGGTCACCAACCATTTAACAACCAAAGGCTAACAGTGCTTAATTGGACTGAATGAGTGATCCGAAAATAAAACATTCAGACATTTCATCTTGGATAATAATAAAAGAATAAGTTAGAAACACAGATGCAAAATATATATATGAATCTAGTTACACCTGCTGCCACTGCTCCCCTGGCAAATCTTAAGAGGCATCCTGAGGGTGGTATACATTAGCTAGTGACAGGACAAATCCTTGAATCAAAGGCCTTTTCAACATCAAGGCACACGCTTGAAGAAATTGTTGGTAAAAAATAACACTTAGCTGATAACGAATTATGTCTGCATGACCACTAAAAGTGTAGCATATCCCATGATTTTATTAATGAATGCCTTAAAGAGAGAAGGATGTATGACTAGTGGGTTAAGTGCTTCTTTTTGATAATTAAAAAAAGGGGAAATTTATGATTTCATTCCTGCATTAAAAATAACTAAATTACTTTTAACTTGCATTTTATAAATAAGATGCACAAATAACCCGCACATAAAAGAGAGAAGCTTATGACGACGTTTCGGTCTGACTTGGACCATTGACAAAGTCGGACCGAAACGTCGTCGTAAGCTTCTCTCTTTTATGTGCGGGTTATTTGTGTATCGTTCCAGTCACGGTATTGTGCGTTTTTTTTGTTATAAATAAGATGTACTGTGCTACATACTACATACTATCAAACTTTAACTTGAATAGTATCCATATGTAGACTATTAAGCATTGTAAGTGACCCTTTCTCCTGTATATATTACTAAATGTAAAAAGAAGGAAACTTCCTAGTTCCTCTTTTTTGGGTCACCTTACTTTGGTGGGATATGGTTTGTGTGTTAAAAAATGTAGGCTATTTGAGTGCTCAGACAAAAATTAGATTGCAGGATATGAAGATAATCAAGTACCAAAAGAGACTTTCATCTTACTGATAATACACTGCAATACACAAAATAAGTTAATGTTTTGTGATTTTAATTGAAGAACATATTTAATACCCTTATGCAGGTGTCAGGCACAATTGTTCAATTTTTGATTTGACAAATTTAGATGAAGATGACTGAAGAGCTAATGGGTTTATAGTTTAAACCCTGAAGGCAATTAAAAACAAAAAATCTTAACCAAGCATTTCAATGGAACATTCTACATGCAAAAGAAAAAAAAAAAAATCATAATATTAACAGTGGAGCCCATGCTAACCTTCTTATGGTGATTAGAAATATACATACCTAATTGGATGAATCTTAGTAGACCAGTGTGGTCCAGTAGTCATGACACTGGCCTGAGTGTTTTGGGACTTACCTGCCATGGGATCAAGTGTGACCTGTTCTGTGATTTGTTTGCAATTGTATTATTACAATTTCATAAGTCATACTAAAACAGTGTGATATACACTTTAGCAACCCCTATAGTGTGCAGTTTTAGAACAAAAGAAATCTAATGTTGACTGGTAGGCCACCTGCAGTACCTCGCCTAAACTTAGACCTTAATGCACCAACCTCTTGCACCCAACCACTGCACTATTGAAGCTGTTTGTATTTCATATCTTATGAACCTGAAAATGTCTACCCATGGGTGCAACATTGCACCAATGAAGGACTCCACTGCAATTATTGTCTTTATCACCACTTGTCAGAGTTATGCTTCCAGTTTGCAACAAAATTATCCTAAGCAAAACTATAAAATCTTTTATTACAAGTATATAAATAATTTTACAAAATTAAATTCTTCCATCAATAACAATTTAAACTATAATAGAAGCTGAAATACAGTAGGGCCCCAACTTAAGAGGTTCTGAGTTAGGAGGTTTTGCACTTACAACAGTGGCATTTTGGAACAAATTGCTCTTTTGAATTTGGGACCACTATATTAACCCTTTGACTGTCGCAACCCCCAATCCTGAGGTGTCTCCTGGTGTCGCAAAATTTAAAAAAAAAAAATTATTTTTTTTTCTTATGAAATGATAGAGAATCTTTTCCCGATTGTAATGACACCAAAAAAAACGAAATTTGATGGAAAGCTGATGGAATTATGCTCTCGCGAAGTTAGCGACCTCGGTGATATTTACAAATCGGCGATTTCGCCCACTTTGAGCCCTATTTTCGGCTAATTCCATTGTTCCAGTCGACCAAACTCATAACTATTTCTTTAGAACTCCATTTTTTCTATCGATTGAGTACAAGAAACTGCCCATTTACCGATTTCAACTACCCAATAATGTGGTCAGAAATTTGCAATTTGACCAATTTCATGAAAATTAAAAAATATGACAATTTCAAAATAAGGTCCAGAATGAACAATGCAGACATTCCTGGCTCTAAAATAACATTTTCTTTGTTCATCAGTCATGTCTCCAGGCCCCTCTGATATTACTCTTGCTTTCTATTTTGAATTTTTATTCAAACAAAATATAGAAGACTTACTATTATGCAGACTACTGCAATACTGTAATAATTGTATAAATAACATAAACCCATTCATGACTGCATATTAGAATGGCTAGTTGGACATTTATTGGACAATGACATCATTTGTTTACTTTTGAACATTGGCAAAAATCAAACATTTCCCCTGCTTTGAGCTCCATTTCCAAGTTCTTTTTATAGTAAAATCAATCAAAATCACCTCTACTTCTATAATATGTTTTCCATTCTATCAAATGAGACCAAGAAAATGAGAATACAACTATAAATACTATAAGAAAATAGACCACAAAGTCGGCATTTTAATTAAAAAAAATGGTCGGAGTTTTTTTTTTATTATTATGCACTGCATGCTCCAGGATTTTTTTATATGGTGCACACTGACCACACAGACCCATTCTCTCACATGTGGGCCTACCAGCTATCTCCTGCTTGATTTGAAGCTGCTAGAATTTTTGAGTATATATACGTCAAACACGGTACCTCGTAAGACGTATATATACGGCCGCGACAGTCAAAGGGTTAATTATTGTTAAGTTTTACACACTGGCCGTTTCCCATCGAGGCAGAGTGACCCAAAAAGAAAGAAACCCAAAAAAGAAAAAACTTTCATCATTCAACACTTTCACCATCACTCACACAATCACTGTATTTGCAGAGGTGCTCAGATACAACAGTTTATTTTTAAGGATGAACTACAAATACAACCTCTCCTCACTTAGCAACGTACTCATTTACTGACAACTCAGACTTACGACGGGCTCTCTGACCAGTATGCAAACCTAAATAATGAATATTAGAGCTGATTTCCTCTATTCTGTTTATTGGAATAGACAGTACACTACGGTATAAACAAATAAAAATATACCAGAAATGTTATAAATGATGCAAAGGTGACATTAACACTAAAGATGGTTGACACAAACCCACTACCACTGTAATATGCTCCTCACTTAGCGACGAATTCATTTACCAACGTGATCTTAGGACCAAAACTCCGTCGTTAAGTGAAGAGAGGCTGTAATACATTTTTTCTTAGTTTTTACCAAATACATTCAAACTTTATTTTATACAAGTACAGAGAACTCAGATTTGTTTGGTAAAGGCTTGTCAAGAACTAAATGTTCAGTATTTAAGTTGTCAGTATGTCAAATGTTGGTGGTAAGGGAGAACTGGCTGAGGTTGGGAGGTAGACAGGTTGGATGTTAGCCAGATTGGAGGCCTTTTCCTGATCAGCACTGCTAACTGTCATGAATGTGTTCAGTAAACAGTTGGACCAAGATGTAATACCACATAACAACACTCTCCTTCCCACTAACACCCACTTGCCCACTCATTCATCAACTCACCTACACCACCCTCACACCCACATCATCACATGCACAGTACCTTCACACCGACACCCACAATCACCCTCACACCCATCTTCACATTCACACCACTTATCTTCACATCCACCCACTCACTCTAACTCTCTCACACTCTATTTTTAAGTGAAAAAGAACAGTATTGTATGTAAAATAGTGGATGAAAATTCATTTGAAAAAAAAAATTACCAGAAATTAGATACAGAATATTGCAGATCGGGAACACATTAATTCATTTTACACTGATTTGGGGGGAAATAGGTTCTGAGTACTGAACAATCAACTTACAATGTTAATTCGTTCCAGAAAATTCATGTTGGGGCCCAACTGTATTCCATAACACTGTAAAGTGTATGCTCTACAAAATCATCATACTGCCTGAGATACTGAAGACTTCTAAGAACTACTGGTTTAATGAATTTTACATGAGATATGAAACTTTTAAGAAGCCACAACCTTTTAAACATGAGAAAACAATTCTTTACACCCTCTAAATTTGTGATACTGTTTTTTTTTACTCTAGAAATCTCCTATTCCTAATCAGGCAGTCAACCATTTCTCTTGGATACTGTCCAAGCTGATGTAGGTAGGTTCTGTATTCTTTTGATAGTCTTGAGTCCCCACTTCATCCAGAGAAATCCAAATATTACAAGTATTACACTCTCAACGTAGTAACCATCAATGTCTGTTATACAAACACCACCTTCACTCTCGCACGCCTGAAAATTAAAATTGAAGTTAAATTGCTTGTAAGGCAAGAAATACACGTTAACAAAAATGTGATTATAACGAGGAAGTGCTAAATCCATAAGGCTTATACAGCACCAACAGTATAATGAACTTTTCATCCTTTTACTCGTGCTGAGGAATTTCATTATTTTATCTAGATATTTTATCTAGATATTGTACAGAAAGTGTAGGGAGGGGGACACCATGATGATAGAGAAGGACTCTTTAATCTAAGGAATTACAGCTATCCAGCCTTTCTTCAGATCAAACCTGATTACCTCCCATTCCCCAGATGCCAGATAACCCCTACAAGTTTAGTCACTCCCACATGAATGTTATACAGTAACAGCAATAATTTAGGATGTGAATATACTGCACCTTTGATGTACAGCAATTGTAATTTAGACCTTACACCTTTTAAAATTTGGGCTATGAACAAACAATTTGTAAAATGCCATCCAAGCAATAATTTACAAAATGTGCCCTCATATTATGGTAATGCCTACAGCTTAAATAAAACTATCATAATTTATATGAATACATCAATGCTTTTCTTAACCCTCAGGTTAGGGTGTGTAGAAGAGAGGGAGAATACTTCCCGGTAAAAGTAGGTCTTAGACAGGGATGTGTAATGTCACCATGGTTGTTTAATATATTTATAGATGGGGTTGTAAAAGAAGTAAATGCTAGGGTGTTCGGGAGAGGGGTGGGATTAAATTATGGGGAATCAAATTCAAAATGGGAATTGACACAGTTACTTTTTGCTGATGATACTGTGCTTATGGGAGATTCTAAAGAAAAATTACAAAGGTTAGTGGATGAGTTTGAGAATGTGTGTAAAGGTAGAAAGTTGAAAGTGAACATAGAAAAGAGTAAGGTGATGAGGGTATCAAATGATTTAGATAAAGAAAAATTGGTTATCAAATTGGGGAGGAGGAGTATGGAAGAAGTGAATGTTTTCAGATACTTGGGAGTTGACGTGTCGGCGGATGGATTTATGAAGGATGAGGTTAATCATAGAATTGATGAGGGAAAAAAAGTGAGTGGTGCGTTGAGGTATATGTGGAGTCAAAAAACGTTATCTATGGAGGCAAAGAAGGGAATGTATGAAAGTATAGTAGTACCAACACTCTTATATGGATGTGAAGCTTGGGTGGTAAATGCAGCAGCGAGGAGACGGTTGGAGGCAGTGGAGATGTCCTGTCTAAGGGCAATGTGTGGTGTAAATATTATGCAGAAAATTCGGAGTGTGGAAATTAGGAGAAGGTGTGGAGTTAATAAAAGCATTAGTCAGAGGGCAGAAGAGGGGTTGTTGAGGTGGTTTGGTCATTTAGAGAGAATGGATCAAAGTAGAATGACATGGAAAGCATATAAATCTATAGGGGAAGGAAAGAGGGGTAGGGGTTGTCCTCGAAAGGGTTGGAAAGAGGGGGTAAAGGAGGTTTTGTGGGTGAGGGGCTTGGACTTCCAGCAAGCGTGCATGAGCGTGTTAGATAGGAGTGAATGGAGACGAATGATACTTGGGACCTGACGATCTGTTGGAGTGTGAGCAGGGTAATATTTAGTGAAGGGATTCAGGGAAACCGGTTATTTTCATATAGTCGGACTTGAGTCCTGGAAATGGAAGTACAATGCCTGCACTTTAAAGGAGGGGTTTGGGATATTGGCAGTTTGGAGGGATATGTTGTGTATCTCTATACATATATGCTTCTAAACTGTTGTATTCTGAGCACCTCTGCAAAAGCAGTGATAATGTGTGAGTGTGGTGAAAGTGTTGAATGATGATGAAAGTATTTTCTTTTTGGGGATTTTCTTTCTTTTTTTTGGGTCACCCTGCCTCGGTGGGAGACGGCCGACTTGTTGGAAAAAAAAAAAAAAAAAAAAAAATTCATTATTTTTACATATTGTACATCGTTTGTACAATAATGTATTACATTTAATACTGCACATGCAACGACCCTGTTCATGCAGTGTACCGTATTTCTCGGCTATTAGATGCATTTTTCCAGTCTCGAAAAACTACCCTGCATCCTATAAACTGAAGGTCAGTGACAAGAGCTATAAGTTTGGGGTGTGGGGTGGGCTGTAGGTCTCCCAGTTACGTCCAATGCCGAGTCCTTGAAACTAAAACAAGTCTCATAAGCCACGCCTCATAAGCTGCAAAATACGGTATATTGGGCAAGCTTTAACCTAAATGAAGGCTATAAGGACAAACATTTTACATGTGTATAAAAACATTAAAGATATACACATCTGTATCATATTTAGTGAATATGACACAAATGTTTATGTAAGTAGATAAAATAATAGCATGGTATGTGAGAATATTGCAAAACAACAATTTAATGAGTGATAGTGAATGCATTTCCTCCTTTTTGGGTCACCCTCCCTCAGTGGGAGACAGCTAGCATGTTAAAAAGTGCTTAAAATTGCAGCAATTTGATTTTTTACAAACCTCTTCGTTATGTTTGTTATTACAGGAGAGAATGTTCACCACTCCTGAGCAAGACTTCCAAGTCAGTTCAGAGACATAGCGCAGTGCAATCCATGCTGGCCAGTTTCCTCCAAGATTTGTGAACGTATTGAGGAGGGTCATGTAAGTTCCTCCAACACTAGAGTCACTAATGCGTGCAAAGAATGCCATCACTCCCACAAACATACAGTTTGCAAATACCTGGAAAAGTAAAGTCATAGTAAGTGATAGAAGTAAAATTATAATTATTTCCTATGAGCCATACAAATTACATTAGTTATGCACTCAAAAATGATTATATTTTTAATTTGATCTTATTATAATACAGATATAATCCAATTCAATGTGTAAAGGTAGAAAGTTGAAAGTGAACATAGAAAAAGAGTAAGGTGATGAGGGTATCAAATGATTTAGATAAAGAAAAATTGGATATCAAATTGGGGAGGAGGAGTATGGAAGAAGTGAATGTTTTCAGATATCTGGGAGCTGACGTGTCAGCGGATGGATTTATGAAGGATGAGGTTAATCATAGAATTGATGAAGGAAAAAAGGTGAGTGGTGCGTTGAGGTATATGTAGAGGCAAAAAATGTTATCTATGGAGGCAAAGAAGGGAATGTATGAAAGTATAGTAGTACCAACACTCTTATATGGGTGTGAAGCTTGGGTTGTAAATGCTGCAGCAAGGAGGTGGTTGGAGGCAGTGGAGATGTCCTGTCTAAGAGCAATGTGTGGTGTAAATATTATGCAGAAAATTCGGAGTGTGGAAATTAGGAGGTGTGGAGTTAATAAAAGCATTAGTCAGAGGGCTGAAGAGGGTTTGTTGAGGTGGTTTGGTCATTTAGAGAGAATGGATCAAAGTAGAATGACATGGAGTGCGTATAGATCTGTAGGGGAAGGAAGGCGGGGTAGGGGTCATCCTTGAAAAGGTTGGAGGGAGGGGGTAAAGGAGGTGTTGAGGGCGAGGGGTTTGGGCTTCCAGCAAGCGTGCGTGAGCGTGTTAGATAGGAGTGAATGGAGACAAATGGTATTTGGGACCTGACAATCTGTTGGAGTGTGAGCAGGGTAATATTTAGTGAAGGGATTCAGGGAAACCGGTTATTTTATATAACCGGACTTGAGTCCTGGAAATGGGAAGTACAATGCCTGCACTTTAAAGGATGGGTTTGGGATATTGGCAGTTTGGTGGGATATATTGTGTATCTTTATACGTATATGCTTCTAAACTGTTGTATTCTGAGCACCTCTACAAAAACAGTGATTATGTGTGAGTGAAGTGAAAGTTTTGAATGATGATGAAAGTATTTTCTTTTTGGGGATTTTTTCTTTCTTTTTGGGTCACCCTGCCTCGGTGGGAGACGGCTGACTTGTTAAAAAAAAAAAAAAAAAAAACCCGATTTGGAATCTATTTACCTGTAAAATATTAATACATAAAATATTAATACATAAAATATTAATACATAAAATATTAATACAGTGGACCCCCGGTTAACGATATTTTTTCATTCCAGAAGTATGTTCAGGTGCCAGTACTGACCGAATTTATTCCCATAAGGAATATTGTGAAGTAGATTAGTCCATTTCAGACCCCCAAACATACACGTACAAACGCACTTACATAAATGCACTTACATAATTGGTCGCATTCGGAGGTGATCGTTATGCGGGGGTCCACTGTACTAAAAAAATGGGCACATTTAAGAGGCGGTGCAGTCACCATAACAGTGCAATTGCCCAACTGTACAGCATAAAATTCAAATTAAGATGTGTAAGCTCAGGAAAACATGTAAAAAATAATTTTTTCCAATATGCCATTACATCATGGCAATTTTTTATGTTAAAAGATCTCCAAGATCATGAGAAGGTTAAAGACAGTGTTCTCAAGCTATAATCCATATTATTTTTATATCGAGATTAGTAAAAAGAAAAAGTATCATACGTGAATATCAATTAGTAAGGCTTGAAACTGTAAAGCATACTTTCTAATTGATCCTGGCTTACTACAAACCTTACCTGATGTATGAGATATATAAAAACAATGATGCAATAGTAGTAGAAAGGATAAGAGCCATCATCTTGCTTGAACACAGGTGTTATCCACACTATTCCAGCAAACACAAACCCAAACAGCAGTCTGTAAAACAAGTGGTAAAGCTTTGGTGATAAGGAATAAACATATTAAAGACTTTATTCTCTAAACTCTTCATATTCACCACTATGGATGAACATATGTAATTTGAATATATGCCTGTACCTGCAATTGCATATCAATCCACAGCATCACTGTTTGACTTTGATATACTATACAGATAGTGTGAAATTCTAAGTTCTTCCTTAGATCAAACCTCACAATTTCCAGGTGCTATATGATGCCTATGGGTTTAGTTCTTCCCCATGAATATCATAATATTCTGTTTAAGTTAGCTAAATATGAGCATACCAGGACATAGTGTAATTAAAAGAAATGGATACAAAATAGAGTTAAAACCAGAAACAAACAACCCTACCAACCTTAATGGATAGCCAACCATGAATGGGTTGAGAGGTTTGGGTCCAGCAGTGTAACGGGAGATATAAAACGGGAGAAGCACTTGGACAGGGGTCAAGGGGATGGACAGCAGTGCTAGACGGTCCTTAGGCACACCACTTTCTATCAGCTTCAGGCCTGTTAAGGAGTCTGCAGCAGCAAACCCAATCTGAACAAATGAAACCTCTAATTTTAAGACCATATCATATACTGTACTGGAGAATTAGATCAAACAGGAAATGTTAATGAGGTTGTAATAATGTGTAACATATTTAAGACTTCTGTTTTAAGGAAAAATAAAATTCCCAACTAAGGAACAAGGATTTAGTAGTATAGTATGGTCCAATAAAGATTTCAGAGTTTTTGCATTTCACATTCACATTTTGTCCTTACATAAATTGCTACAGTGTAGAGGGATAGACATGTTGAAAAAAATGGGTGATATTTACATAATGGTAAGTCTGTGTTAGGTTTGTTTTTTAAAAAGTGTTTAGTATAAAATCTTATAAAGGTTAATAAAAGCACATCTCAGTCACACACACACACACACACACACACACACACACACACAAAACAAAAAACAAAAACATACTTCTCTAGTCTACATACCTTGCACGTCAACAATACTATAATCAAATCCTGTATTGGCCTGAGCTTCAAGATACGACCAAGGATTTGGTAAGTACCAACTAATCCAAAGTCGGGATCATCAACTGTAACCTGACAAATTAAAGCATATTAATAATTAAACAAGAAATGTTCAACTGTTGGGGCATAAAAGTCCTAATCTAAAAGTTTATTTTATTATTAACACAGGCCATTTCTCACCAAGGCAGGGTGGCCCGAAAAAGAAAAATTTTCATCATTCGCTCCATTGCTGTCTTGCAGGAGGCATGCTTACACTACAGGTATATAACTGCAAAATTAACAACCCTCCTTCAGAGTGCAGGTACTGTACTTTCCAGCTCCAGGGCTAAAGTCCAGCCTGCAGGTTTCCCTGAATCCCTTCATGTTACCTTGCTTACATTCTAACAGCATGTCAAGTCCTAAAAACCATTTATCTCCTTTCGCTTCTAACACACTCATGCATGCTTGCTGGAAGTCCAAGCCCCTCGCACACAAAACCTCCTTTACCCCCTCCCTCCAACCTTTCCTAGGGTGACCCCTACCCTGCCTTCCCTCCACTACAGATTTATACACTCTGAAAGTCATTCCATTTCGTTCCAACCTCTCTACATGTCCAAACCTCTCAATAACCCTTCCTCAGCCCTCTGGATGATAGTTTTGGTAATCCAGCACCTCCTAATCTCCAAACTATGAATTCTCTGCATTATATTCACAACACACATTGCCCTCAGACATGACGTCTCCACTGCCTTCAGCCTTCTCCTTGTTGCACATACACCACCCATGCTTCACACCCATATAAGTGTTGGTATAACTGTACTCTCATGTATTCCCCCCTTTGCTTCCATGGATAAAGTTCTTTGTCTCCACAGACTCCTCAGTGCACCACTCACCTTTTCCCCCTCATCAATTCTAAGAGTCACCTCATCTTTCATGGACCCAGCTGCTGACACATCCACTTGCAAATATCTGGAAACATTCACCTCCTCCAGTCTGATATCCAATCTTTTGTTACCTAATTTTTTTGAATCCTCATCACCTTACTCTTTCCTACATTTACTTTTAATTTCCTTTTTTACATAACCTAACAAACTCATCCACCAACTTCTGCAACTTCTCTTCAGAATCTCCCAAAAGCACAGTGTCATAAGTAAAGAGCAACTGTGACAACTCCCACTTTGTGTTAGATTCTTTATCTTTTAACCTCACAACTCTTGCCAACACCCGAGCATTCATTTCTCTTTTAACTCTATCTATAAATATACTGAACAACCATGGTGACATCACACATCCTCGTCTAAGGTCTACTTTTACCTACCTTCTATTCCATACATTTGCAACATCTGCCACATTGCCTCCTTATCTACCCTCTCATATGCCTTTTCCAAATCCATAAATGCCACAAAAACCTCTTTACCCACCCTTATCTAAATACTGTTCACCTACGTGTTTCACTGTAAACGCTCGGTCTACACACCCCCTACCCTTCCTAAAGCCTCCTTGTTCATCTGCTATCCTGCTCTCCATCTTACTCTAATTCTTTCAATAGTAACTCTACACTTTACCAGGTATACACAGCAAACTTATTCCCCTATAATTTTTACTCTTTTGTCCCCTTTGCCTTTATACAAAGGAACTATGCATGCTCTCTCTCTCCCAATCCCTAGCTCTTTCAGGGTCGGCAGGCCCTCTTCTAAACTTGTTCTCAGGGTTGGAAATTTTTTTGAAAAAAAAAAAAAAAAAAAAAAAATCTTATGGAATGATAGAGAATCTTTTCCCGATCATAATGACGCCAAAAGTATGAAATTTGATAGAAAACTTACGGAATTATGCTCTCGCGAAGTTAGAGGTCTCGATGATGTTTACTCATCGGCGATTTCGCCCACTTTGAGCCCTATTTCTGTCCAATTCCAATGTACCAATCGACAAAAATCATAACTATTTCACTAGAACTCCATTTTTTCTATCGAAAGAGTACAAGAAACCACCCATTTACAAATTTAAACTATCAAATAAAGTGGTCAGAAATTGGCAATTTTGCCAATTTCACAAATTTCAAAAGATGCTAATTTCCAAATAGGGTCCAGAATAAACAAGACAGACATTCCTGGCAGTAAAATAACATTTCCTCTGTTCATTAGTCACATCCCCAGGCCTCTCTTACATTTCTATTGCTTTCCACTTTGAATTTTTATTCTCACAAAAAATAGAAGATTTACTGTTATGCAGACTACTGCATTAGTGTAGAAATGGTATAAATAATATCAGCACACTTGTGAAAGAATATTAGACTCACCAGTTGACGTGTATTGGACGCGTGACATGATTTGTTTACTTTTGAACTTAGGCAAAAATCGAACATTTCTGCTAATTTGAGCTCAATTTCAAGGTACTTTTCATTGCGAAACCAATCAAAATCATCTCAATTTCCATAATATATCTTCCATTCTATAAAATGAGACCAGAAAAGCTAGAATACAACCATAAATAGCATAAGAAAATACAGTGCAAAGTCGCTGTTTTAAACCAAAAACACGGTCAGTATTTTTTTCTCATTATGCACTGTGTGCTGCAGGATTTTTTTTATACTGCGCACACTGACCCATTCTTTCATATGTAGGCCTACCAGCTTTCTCTCGCTAGATTTGAAGGCGCTAGAATTTGTGTGTACTAGTACGGCACCAACCCTGGGGTGCAAGCCGTACTAGTATGGCACCAATCCTGAAAGGGCTAGGTACCTTACCTTCTTCCATACATTTATTAAATAAAAACACTAACCACTCTAAAACTATATCCTCACCTGCTTTTAACATTTCTCATCAATCCCAGCTGCTTTACCCCCTCTCATTCTACTCACTGCCTCACGAACTTTCCCCCGTACTCACAACTCGCTCCTCTTCACTCCTACATGATGTTATTCCAACTTGCCCTATATATGAAATCACAGCTTCCCTATCTTCATCAACATTTAACAATTCCTTAAAATATTCCCTCCATCTTCCTGATACCTCTATGCATTTAATAACTCTCCTCTCCCTAAGCTTTCTCAACTTATTAATCTCTCTCTAAAACTTTTTTCATTTTCAAGAAAATTTGTTGATAACATCTCACCCACTCTCTCATTTACTCTCTTTTTACATTACTTCACCACTGTCTTAACCTCTTTTTTACTCCATATACTCCTCCCTCCTCGCATCACTTTTAATTTGTAAAAACCTCTCATATTCTAACTTTTTCTCTCTTACGACTCTCTCTACATCATTCCACCAATCGCTCTTCTTCCCTCCTGCACCCACTTTCCTGTAACCACAAACTTCTGCTGAACACTAACATTACATTCTTAACCCTTAAACGGTCCAAACGTATATATACGTTCACTTGTGCAGCGCCCCGAATATTTTGGAAAAAAAAAAAGCACATTTTTTAAGGGTTTTAGAATAAAAAAAATTAGGGTCAGGGGGGAGAGAGAGAGAGAGAGAGAGAGAGAGAGAGAGAGAGAGAGAGAGAGAGAGAAGAGAGAGAGAAAAAGAAAGAGAGAGAGAGAGAAAAAGAAAGAGAGAGAGAGAGAGAAAAAGAAAGAGAGAGAGAGAGAAAAAAGAAAGAGAGAGAGAGAGAGAAAAAGAAAGAGAGAGAGAGAGAGAAAAAGAAAGAGAGAGAGAGAGAAAAAAGAAAGAGAGAGAGAGAGAGAAAAAGAAAGAGAGAGAGAGAGAGAAAAAGAAAGAGAGAGAGAGAGAGAAAAAAGAAAGAGAGAGAGAGAGAAAAAAAAGAGAGAGAGAGAGAGAAAAAGAAAGAGAGAGAGAGAGAAAAAAGAAAGAGAGAGAGAGAAAAAGAAAAGAGAGAGAGAGAGAGAAAAAGAAAGAGGAGAGAGAGAAAAAGAAAGAGAGAGAGAGAGAGAAAAAGAAAGAGAGAGAGAGAGAGAAAAAAAGAGAAAAGAGAGAGAGAAAAAGAAAGAGAGAGAGAGAGAGAAAAAGAAAGAGAGAGAAGAGAGAAAAAAGAAAGAGAGAGAAAAAAGAAAGAGAGAGAGAAAAAAGAAAGAGAGAGAGAAAGAAAGAGAGAGAGGAAGAGAAAGAAAAAAGAGAGAGAAAAAAGAAGAGAGAGAGAGAAAGAGAGAGAGAGAGAGAGAAAAGAAAGAGAGAGAGAAAGAGAGAGAGAGAAAGAAAGAGAGGGGAGGAGGGAGGGAGGGAGGGAGGGATGAGATGATGAGATGATGAGGAGAATGATGAGGAGAATGATGAGAATGAGATGATGAGAATGAGGATGATGAGAATGAGGATGATGAGAATGAGGATGAGGATGATGAGAATGAGGAGGGAATGAGGATGATGATGATGAGAGAATGGTGAGAATGATGAGGAGAATGAGGATGAGGAGAATGAGGATGATGATGAGGATGATGATGATGATGAGGATGATGATGAGGATGATGATGAGGAGAATGATGGATGAGGAGAATGAGGATGAGGAGAATGAGGATGAGGAGAATGAGGATGATGAGGATGAGGATGATGATGAGGATGATGATGAGGATGATGATGAGGATGAGGATGATGATGAGGATGATGATGAGGATGATGATGATTTCCCTTGAAGCATGAAAAACAAAGTCTGCCCCTTGACAGTGACATGATAAGATAACATTTGATAAGAGCTGATGTTTGATGAGAAGTGATAACATTTGATAAGAAAAGATTAGAGGTGACATTTGATGAGCATTGGCCCTCCCTTTGTTTTCACTGGTACACAAGCATGTCTGTGTCTATTTGTCTGTCTGTCAAGCTCCCTGTCTATCTGTCTATCCATCTAGCTCTCTGTCTCAGAGAGAGCCACAAGACTCTTGTCATCATGTTTACTCACATCTTCAAGCAGAGTATAGCACTTTGTCTGGATTTTTTGGGTTATCCTAGGTAATTTACTCTATGTATACTTGTGTTTATGTGTACCTGTGAGACAGAGATAGACAGACAAATTGAAAGAGATAAAGACAGAGACAGAGGTAGACAGAGATAGACCCTAAACTTAGGGTTAATATCACTTTCCTCTTAAAAGAGGAGTGTAATATAACATTACATCAGTGAATCCTTGGTGTTTGCCACACTGTTTGCTCTAGCTGGCGCTCAATTTAACTGGCGCTCCCACAAGGTACTAAGTGGTCCCAGATTTTTTTAATATAGTGCATACTGAGTGTTAAGACCCATTCAATGCTGACCAGGCATCTCAGAGCAATCGTGCCAAATTTGGAGGCAGGAAAATTAAAACTGTATATATACATTTGGCCTAGGTAGTAGGTTGGTAGACAGCAGCCGCCCAGGGAGGTACTACCGTCCTGCCAAGTGAGTGTAAAACTGAAGCCTGTAATTGTTTTACACGATGGTAGGATTGCTGGTGTCTTTTTTTTTTTTCTGCCTCATACACATGCAAGATTTCAGGTACGTCTTGCTACTTCTACTTACACTTAAGTCACACTACAAATACACGTACAAGCATATACATACACATCCCTTTGGGTTTTCTTCTATTTTCTTTCTAGTTCGTGTTCTTGTTTATTTCCTCTTACCTCCATGGGGAAGTGGAACAGAATTCTTCCTCTGTAAGCCATGCGTGTTATAAGAGGCGACTAAAATGCCGGGAGCAAGGGGCTAGTAACCACTCCTCCTGTATATATTACTAAATGTAAAAGGAGAAACTTTCGTTTTTCCTTTTGGGCCACCCCGTCTTGGTGGGATACGGCCGGTGTGTTGAAAGAAGATATACGTTTGGGGCGCTACCGTAAGCACGTATATATGTTTGGACCATTTAGGGGTTAAACCTACCCTATGCATCTTGAATCCCATTGCCTATACTCTCACTAGCCCATCTATCCTTCACTAGTTGTTTATATCTTACCCTAACTGCCTCCTTCTTTAGTTTATAAATTTTCACCTCTCTTACTTGCTGCTTCAATTTTCTTTGTATCCCATCTACCTTTTACTCTCACTTTAGCTACAACTAAAAAGTGATGTTTATAGACGAGTGTTATTGTTTTTATTTTTTAACACACCAGCCGTCTCTCACCGAGATAGGGTGAAAAAAAAAAAAAAAAAAAAAAAAAAAAACTTTCACCATTACTCACTCCATCATTGTCTTGCCAGAGACATGCCGAATACTACTAGTTCAAAACTAGTTCATAACTACATGCTATACTTTTATACGACTGGCAGTACAGGTTTGTTTACACCACCACCATACAGGTGGTCCATTGTTGACCGAAATGTCGTTATGCGGCGCAAGACTGTACAGTGACTCCACTCTAAAGAATTGATTTGAGATATTTGCTGTTGGAGGGATATCTGAACATCGTATCTGTGCGCCTCTGGCAAGACAGTGATAATGTGAATGATGCTGAGAGCACTTCTTTTTTGGGTCAACTTGCTTCGGTGGGAGATGGCTAGTGTATTAAGCAAAAAATAATTCACCTTATACAGTTAACATACCTCTAAGTTATCTTTTTCATGTTTAAGAAGCCATACTGCTGTTGTTGTTATGCAGAAAATAATGCCCCAAAAATACAGAAAACCTGTAATGTAAAAAAAAAAAAATTAATAAAAATATCCATATAATACATTTGTTCTGAGTGTTTTGTGTGTATTAAATTTTTGGTTTATAGTCATGCTTTGAAATGCATATACTGTATTAATGAATGTATACAAATGTGTGATTATCTACTTGCAGTTATAGGAAGAGAACTCTGCTTTTGTATCTGAACATCAGCGTTTATCATGTAGTACGTATCTCATTCTTTTTTTTTAAACCACACTAGCCATCTCCCACCAAGGTAAGGTGATTCAAAAGAAGGAAACATATTCACCAGATTCATACAATAGCTGTCTTGCCAGAAGTGCCCAGACATCACACTCAAATGTCCTTCCAAACTGCAACCTTCCCACAGTGGAAGCACTACACTTCTCACCTCCAGGACTCAAGTCCAATTAACTGGTTTCCCTTGAAACCCCTTTATTTGTTACCTTGCTCTCACTTCAAAAGCTTGGCATGCCATAAAAACAAACTGTTACAGTATTGTTATTCTTGAAATGCTTCAAAAGTAAACTGTGACCTTCATATTTAAAAAAAAAAAAAAAATCCCTGAATACTCTTACACCTGTTACAGCTTTCAGTAGTTACAGATAGTCGTGTACTTGCCTTATGTTTGAACTTTTCCAACACTAATACCAAAATATGATAAAAAATTATGTGTGATTCAACACAATATAATTAAAAAAACATAAACATGGTTTACACATACAAAAGAGGTTGAATACAAACAAGAGAAAACAATGTTTTAATACCTTACATTCTACATGACCAACTACGAGAACATCAAAATGAAGACTGAAACAGAACTCCAAAATTTCCTAAAATGCCACAAGATTTCTGCAGTATTAATTTAAATATCATTGATTACCCCCTTTGCATTTATTATAAAATGAAGACCAAAGAAAATTTACCTATTAGCTTACTCGGAAGTGTTATTAGACTTGTAAGCGTTCAAGTATTCACTTACCTGGAAGTGTTACTAATGAGTCTTTCTGACCAAGGTAGTTTATGCAAAAGTCCTTGGATTCTAGGGCCAGAAATACAACATAACCCATGAAGTAGCCTGCAGTCTGCCCAACAGAGTTGCAAGTTGATGCCCACCCAACATTATTTCTGTAAAAAAAAAAAAAAAAAAAAAAAAAAAAATTATTTCTGCAGAAAAAATGCTTTACTGTATTATTCAACCTGTGTAATGTATAAGAGAAAAACTTGTAACTTTCAACAACAATATTGCAGGATTATCTCTTCAATTATGTGAGACTACACTTTATAACAAAATGAATATACAAAACGATCACCTTTTACATGATAACACATATGGAGTCCAGCAACTCCACTTCAGTTTAACTTTTAAATCAATATACAGTAATAGATAAAAGGAATAAAGAAAAAAAAGAGGTGGTGTTTATGTATCTACAGAGGAAAATGTTTATCTATTGAGGCAAAGAGGAATGTATCAGGGTACATGAGTAGGAAGCCTGAGTTTTAGCTGTGGCAAGTGGGCAAAAAAAATTCCAGGTGGTGTGGCAAGATTTTAAAAACAAAAATGATTTTTTTTCTTACAGTTTGATAGTGCACATTTTTCTGAATCAAATAAGACTAAAATGAGTGGAATCTGGTGAACACTTACAATTTTATGGTGTGTTGAAGTTGGTGAAAAAAATGATCACTTATTCGCAACAGCGGCATAAAAGCACCAGCGATATTTATGGTTTACAATTACTGACGCCAAAATGAGAATGTTTGTTTTTTAATTGCCTTTTTAATGTTTAATGCTATATATACTAGTGTCTTATGATATTAGATGAGTTTCAAGGTGTTTTAGCATTTCAAACATAGGGAAACACTTGCATGACATTGCTTAACATGGAATGTACGGTATACATGTGGCACAGTATATATACGATATACAGCCTCTCCTCACTTAACGATGGAGTTCCGTTCCTAAGACCATGTCGTTAAACGAATTCGTTGCTAAATGAGGACCATGCTATAATGGTAGTGAGTTTGTGTCAACCATCTTTGATATTGTTTTAATGTCATTTTTGCACCATTTATAACATTTCTGGTATATTTTTAAATGTTTATACAGTAGTGTACTGTATGTATATTGAAATAAACAGAATACAGGAAATTAGCTCTAATAAACATTATTTTCATATGAATGCTGGTCAGAGAGCCAGTCGTAAGTCCGAGGCGTAGGTAAACGAGTATGTCGCTAAGGCTATGTACAAGGAATACTTATAACATTACAACTGTTGCTGAGTATATTAATTCTCAAAACACTGAAATAAGTCATAGTGATTGAGCTTACTTATTTATATATACTGTATATTTGTTATCCTACTATTTTATTATTTTGGTCTTCTAAGGCTATGTACAATGAATATTTATAATCTTACAATTAATTTAGAGTATAATACTTATCAAAACATGAAATTATTCACACTGTTTGACTTTACTGTGTTACCCTGGGTTAAATATACTTAGTGTGATGTATAGCTGAATTCCATTGTATCAAAATCTGGACTGAATAAATTCATCTTTGAGACACTTGCACACCCTGTTTGCTGGTAGGGAAGCTGATGGTGGAACAACAGTTCCTGGTTCCTTTGTTTACTTTTGCTAGTGAGGCATACTAATATGTCAGATATACAGTCATCCCCTGAGTAGTTAACCTTGATACATTGTGTGCACCCTGCTGGCCTTAGATTTTTCAAATGTATCAATAGATGGAAGACCCAAAGAGTTATGCTGAAGTCAAAAATATTGGGAGGAGGCAGATTTGTGGGGACAAAAAAATTGTGTACTAATACTGTACATTGGACACACTGTAGGCATTTGTGTATTAGTACATTTGACCCACTGTAGGCATTTGTGTACTAGTATGTTGGGCACTGTAGGCATTTGTGTACTAGTACGATGGACATTGTAGGCATTTGTGTACTAGTACGTTGGACACTGTTGGCATTCAAGTACTAGTACATTGGACACTGGAGGCATTTGTGTACTAGTATGTTGGACACACTGTAGGCATTTGTGTACTAGTACGTTGGACACACTAGGTATTTGTGTACTAGTATGTTGGACACACTGTAGGCATTTGTGTACAATTACATTGGACACAATGTAGGCATTTGTGTACTAGTACGTTGGACACACTGTAGGCATTTGTGTATGTACTAGTATGTTGGACACAGTTAAAGTGCTAAATGATTCACAAAGGAGGAGGTTGGAGGCATCAGAGACGTCATATTTGAGAGTAATGTGTAGCGTGAATGTTGTACAAAAAATTCAGAAGACAGTATAGGGTTATGAAAGGCATTACTCACAGAGCAGAGGAGGGATTGTTGAGGTGGTTTGGCATTTAGAGGCCAGAGCAGAACAGGGTGACCAAGAGGATGTACTCTAAATCCAAGGTGGAGCAACATGGGGTAAGGTCATTCCAGGAAGAGTTAGCGAGTTTGTATGAAGAAACTTTAAGTAGTAGACGTTTGAATATCTAACAGGCATATATATGTGTGTGTGTGTGTGTGTGTGTGTGTGTGTGTGTGTGTGTGTGTGTGTGTGTGTGTGATGTGTTGTGTGTGTGTGTGTGTGTGTGATGTATGTAATGTATGTATGCATGTATGTATTATGTATGCATGTATGTATGTAGTATGTATGTATGTATGTATGTATGTATGTATGTATGTATGTATGTATGTAATGTATGTATGTATGTGTGTTGTGTGTGTGTGTGTGTGTGTGTATTTCACTGTTTGTACTCACTAGTTGAGGTTGCGGGGGTCGAGTCCGAGCTCCTGGCCCCGGCCTCTTCACTGATCGCTACTAGGTGCACTCTCCTGAACCGTGAGCTATTATCATACCTCTGCTTAAAGCTATGTATGGATCCTGCCTCCACTACATCGCTTCCCAAACTATTCCACTTACTGACTACTCTGTGGCTGAAGAAATACTTCCTAACATCCCTGTGATTCATCTGTGTCTTCAACTTCCAACTGTGTCCCCTTGTTACTGTGTCCAATCTCTGGAACATCCTGCCTTTGTCCACCTTGTCAATTCCTCTCAGTATTTGTATGTCGTTATCATGTCCCCCCTATCTCTCCTGTCCTCCAGTGTCGTCAGGCTGATTTCCCTTAACCTCTCCTCGTAGGACATACCTCTCAGCTCTGGGACTAGTCTTGTTGCAAACCTTTGCACTTTCTCTAGTTTCTTTACGTGCTTGGCTAGGTGTGGGTTCCAAACTGGTGCCGCATACTCCAATATGGGCCTAACATACACGGTGTACAGGGTCCTGAACGATTTCTTATTAAGATGTCGGAATGCTGTTCTGAGGTTTGCTAGACGCCCATATGCTGCAGCAGTTATTTGGTTGATGTGCGCTTCAGGAGATGTGCATGGTGTTATACTCACCCCAAGATCTTTTTCCCTGAGTGAGGTTTGTAGTCTCTGGCCCCCTAGACTGTACTCCATCTGCAGTCTTCTTTGCCCTTCCCCAATCTTCATGACTTTGCACTTGGTGGGATTGAACTCCAGGAGCCAATTGCTGGACCAGGTCTGCAGCCTGTCCAGATCCCTTTGTAGTTCTGCCTGGTCTTCGATCGAGTGAATTCTTCTCATCAACTTCACGTCATCTGCAAACAGGGACACCTCAGAGTCTATCCCTTCCGTCATGTCGTTCACAAATACCAGAAACAGCACTGGTCCTAGGACTGACCCCCTGTGGGACCCCGCTGGTCACAGGTGCCCACTCTGACACCTCGCCACGTACCATGACTCGCTGCTGTCTTCCTGACAAGTATTCCCTGATCCATTGTAGTGCCTTCCCTGTTATCCCTGCTTGGTCCTCCAGTTTTTGCACCAATCTCTTGTGTGGAACTGTGTCAAATGCCTTCTTGCAGTCCAAGAATATGCAATCCACCCACCCCTCTCTCTCTTGTCTTACTGCTGTCACCATGTCATAGAACTCCAGTAGGTTTGTGACACAGGATTTCCCGTCCCTGAAACCATGTTGGCTGCTGTTGATGAGATCATTCCTTTCTAGGTGTTCCACCACTCTTCTCCTGATAATCTTCTCCATGATTTTGCATACTATACATGTCAGTGACACTGGTCTGTAGTTTAATGCTTCATGTCTGTCTCCTTTTTTAAAGATTGGGACTACATTTGCTGTCTTCCATGCCTCAGGCAATCTCCCTGTTTCGATAGATGTATTGAATATTGTTGTTAGGGGTACACATAGCGCCTCTGCTCCCTCTCTCAATACCCATGGGGAGATGTTATCTGGCCCCATTGCCTTTGAGGTATCTAGCTCACTCAGAAGCCTCTTCACTTTTTCCTCGGTTGTGTGCACTGTGTCCAGCACTTGGTGGTGTACCCCACCTCTCCGTCTTTCTGGAGCCCCTTCTGTCTCCTCTGTGAACACTTCTTTGAATCTCTTGCTGAGTTCCTCACATACTTCACGGTCATTTCTTGTTGTCTCTCCTCCTTCCTTCCTTAGCCTGATTACCTGGTCCTTGACTGTGCGTGCGTGCGTGCGTGCTATTTGTTAGATCAGAGTGAAGACAAATGGTTTTAGAGATTTGATGTGCTGTTGTAGTGTGTGTGTGCAAGTTAACATTTATGTAACGAATCAGGCAAACTAGTTAGCCAAAAGTAGTGTACCTGCCCTCTTAATGAAGTGTAGGGATGATACAGTTTGAAGGATCACTCCAACTGTGATGTCTGTGTACTTGTGGCAAGACAGCTATTGAATGAATGATAATGAAGGTTTACTTTTTGGGGGGAATCACCTTACCTTGGTGAAAGAGCCAATGTAGTATAAAAAAAAAAACATGTACAAAAAGGCATCACACCAGTTGATTAATGGTTAAGAGACAGGGGCCTTAGAGCTAATTGTAACTCCCTGAAAACACCTTCAGCTGAATAATAAAACTAAATCATAGTCACCTGGAGAGAATAGTAAGAGCCCATCCATCCACAGCAATATCTTGAGTAGCCGCTAAGAAGTTGAGAGCAAAGAATACACAAGTGATGAAAACTACATTTGGAGTATGTTGTGAATCCTCTCCTAGAAGATCATTAATAACTGATGACAGTAGCAGCATGAAGAATCCTGTAATGATAATTAATAAATTATACTCAGGTTCCAGCACTATACAAATATTTTTCAATGGGTCAGGACTGCAAAATAAAATAATTTTGCTATTTAAAATCACAAGTTTACAGTAGAATTTTGACAAAATAATTCATAAAATTTTGAGTCATGTCAGAAAACCCAACCTTATAATTAATGGTTGTAACTCATGAAAACGAGTCCACTTTTAATATGTTGCTAGTTGCTTGCCCTCCCTGTGGGAAAAGGAGCATTATGTTATCAACATAACAGGAGTATTATTTTCTTTTCATGTGTCTATGAAAGCTGATAACTATCAAGCTAACATGATGGTCAAATATGGCCCATCTCAAACTGTCCATCAAGTATGTTTTATTATGATCTGAGGAATTTAATCCAGGGATTAGATCTGCAGTGTTGCTCTGGTGCCAATACAGCCAACATGCTCACAGACTTAAGATTACACATGTAGTGTTGTGGAGATGCTGCTGGATCTAACAAGTTTACGGAGTTTCATTTTATTCCTTCTTACAAAAGAACTATTGAAAATAAGATGCCATGAACATAGATCTAAACCATTAATTCTAAATGAGTAATTACACTTGGACTCAATCCTTCACATCTATAGGGAGGTTATCTATACTCTGGTCATCTATCAAGGAATAAAAAATTACATTACAGTATTTATGAGTGCAATGGTGTTCCAGGGTAAACTTTAAACCTTAAATAAATTTAGTAATCCTAAAGTGCTTTTAGCTATTTGTTTTGGAAATATAAACACTTAAGCAGTATAATGTGATCCTTTATTGACAACGTTTTGCCCACGCACTGGGCTTTATCAAGTCACAAACAGATCTACCTGGGTGAAACATACATGGCTATATATAAGATGGGAATGCTGGGTCAGGTGGAGAAAGGTGCACGTGACAATCTTCGGAGTAGAGTGAAGAAGTCTAAAAACTTGGGTAGCTTTTAAAAGAAATTGGATAAGTACATGAGTGGATCTTCTGCAGTGTTCCTCGATTCTTATGTTCTTATGTGGGATAGCGATGAAGGAGTTTCTTGGCAAGGGGTTCAGCTATGTTATAGAAGCCATTGTTCTGGTTGAAGTTGTTGGATGTACAGATAAGTGATGATTCCAGGATTCTTTGGTATCGAGTGTTGTCTTTTCTGGCGATGAGTCTTGTGTTTCTGTAGTTGATTAAATGGTTTAATTTAAGATGTTTAATGCCCGTCATCTGCAGTCTCTATTAAGAGACTGCAGATGACGGGCATTAAACATCTTTAACACACCCAGAGAAGACACTGCCGAGAAGAGATACATAGTCCTCCCCACCAACTCCATTACCAAACACGTTTCCAACATCTTCTCCAAAACCTCATTTCAAGTATCTACTTCCACATCCACCACCATCAAGGACATTACCAGTGATAGACAAGACAAGCTTCAATCCTCTGCAGGGGTATACACACTCCCTTGTAATGATTGCAGCAAATTATACGCCGGCGAAACATCTGGAGACCTCCAAACACATATTTCAGAACACCAGTATGCAGGCAGATCTGAAGATCCAAGGAATGCCTGTGTTCAACATTGAAATTCACACAACCATTTAATCAACTACAGAAATGCAAGACTTATCGCCAGAGAAGACAACACTCAATACCGAAGAATCCTGGAATCATCACTTATCTGTACATCCAACAACTTCAACCAGAGCAACGGCTTCTATAACAAAGCTGAACCCCTTGCCAAGAAACTTCTTCATCGCTATCCCACATAAGAATCGAGGAACACTGCAGAAGATCCACTCACGTACTTATCCAATCTCTTTTAAAAGCTACTCAAGTTTTTAGACTTCTTCACTCTACTCCGAAGATTATCACGTGCACCTTTCTCCACCTGACCCAGCATTCCCATCCTATATATAGGCACATATCTTTCACCCAGGTAGATCTGTTTGTGACTTGATAAAGCCCACTGTGTGGGCGAAACATTGTCAATAAGAATCACATTATACTGCTTAAGTGTTTACATTTCCATTGTGTCAGTATTTTATACCATTTATTTCCCACTATTTGTTTTATCAGAGAAAAGCACTAATTCCAATGAGGTCACATAGTGCTAGGGGAATAGGAGATTATCAAGTTGAATCTAAGGAAAGATATGATAAGTTCAGTTCCCTGGATCAAAAGCCCCTTGCTTGCATCAAGACATCTCCATGGAGGGAGGATTATTTTTATATTTTAAAAATATAAAAAAATTCCATGCCCCACTAAGAGAATTTTATCAAAGAATATTCATCAGAGGAAGCTCTTATGTCAATGCATTTTAAATTTTTTTTTTAAAAATTTTTTTTTTCCTTTTTCCCCGGGGAAAAAAAATTTTTTTTTCCCTTTTTTTTTTTAAAATTTTTTTTTAGTTTCCTTTTTTTAAAACCCCCAAAAATAAAAATTTTTAAAAAAAATTTTTTTTCCACCCCCCCCAAAAAAGGGGGGTTTTTTTTCCCCTTTGGGTTTTTTAAAAAATTTTTTTCCCCAAAATTTAAAAAAAAATTTTTGGCCCCCCCCCAAAAAAATTTGACCCCCCTTTTTTTTCCCCGGGGGGGGTTTTTTTTTTAAAAATTTTTTTTTTTTTTTGGGTTTTTTTTTTTCCCCCCCCAAAAAAAAACCCCCCCTTTTTTTAAAAGGCAAATTTAAAAATTTTTTAATTAAAATTAAAAAAAAATTTTTTTTAAAACTTATTTTTAAACTTTAAAAATTTCCTTCCCAAAAACCCCAAAATTTTTTTAAAAAAAACCCCGGGGCCTTTTTTTTTTTTAAAAAAAACCAATTTCCCTTTTTAAAAAAAAAAAAGGCCTAAAATTGGAAAAAAATTTTTCCAAAAAAAAAGGGGAAAAAAAAAAAAATTTTTTAAAAAATTTTTTTTAACCCAGAAACCCAATTTAAAAAAACCCCCAAAAAAATAAAAAAATTCTTTTTTCCCCCCCTCCCTTTTTTCCTTTTTTTAAAAAAACCCCTTTTTAAAAAAAAATTTTTTTTTTTGGATTTGAAAATTTTTCCCCCCCAAAAAAACCCCCGGGGTTTCCCCCTTTTTTAAAAAATTTTCCCCTTTAAAAAAAAAAAAAAGGTAAAACCCCCCCAAAAAAAAAAAATTTCCCCCCCCCCCAAAACCCCCCCAAAAAAAAAAATTTTTTCCCCCCCCCCTTTTACCCCAAAAAAAAAAACCCCCCCCAATTTCCCAAAAAAAAAAAAAATTTTTTAAAAATTTTAAAAAAAAAAAAAAACCCCCCCCCAAAAAAAAAAAATTTTTTTAAAAATTTTTTAAAAAAAATTTAAACCCCCCCCCCCCAAAAAAAAAAAAAAAAAAAAATTTTTTTTTTTTTTCCCCTTTTTTTTTTTTTTTTAAAAAAAAAAAAAGGGGTTTTTTTTTTTTTTGGGGGGTTTTCCAAAGGGGTTGGGGGGAAAAAAAAAAAAAAAAGGGAAAAAAAAAGAAAAAAAAAAAAAAAAAAGGGGGAAAAAATTTTTTTAAAAGGAAAAAAACTTTTAAAATAAAAAAAACCCCCAAAAAAAAAACCAAAAAAAAAAAGGGGAAATTAAAAAAAAAAAAAAAAAAAAAAATTTAAAAACAAAAAATTTTTTTTTTTTAAAAAAATTTTTTTTTTCCCCGGTTTTCCCCCCTTTCCCCCCCCCCCAAAAATTTTTTTTTTTCCCAAAAAAAAAAATTTTTCCCCCTTAAAAACCCCCAAAAAAAAGGGGGGAAAAAAACCCCCAAACCCCCTTTTTTTAAAAAAAAAAAATTTTTAAAAACCCAAAATTTTTTAAAAAATTAAACCCCCCCCCCAAAAACCCCCCAAAATTTTGGGGAAAACCCCAAAAGGGGCCCCAAAAATTTAAAAAAAAAAAAAAAAAAAAACCCCCCCCCCAAAAAAATTTTTAAAAATTTTTTTTTCCTTTTCCCCCTTTTTTTCCCAAAACCCCCCCCCAAAAATTTGGTTTCCCCCCCCCCCAAAATTAAAAAATTTTTTTAAAAAGGGGAAAAAAATTTAAAATTTTTAAAAAAATTTTTTTTGGGGAATTTTTTCCCCCAAACTTTTTCCTTGAAATTTTTTTTTTTTCCCGGAAAAGGGGCCCCCCTTTTTTTCCCCTTTTTTAAAAAAGTTGGGGTTTTTTTTTTTTAAAAAATTTTTTTGGGGGGTTTTGGGGTTTTTTTTTTAAAAATTTTTGTTTTTAAAAGGGGTTTTATTTTAAAAATTTTTTTTCCCCAAAAAAAATTTTTTTGGCCCTTTCCCTAAAAAAGGAAAAGGGTTTAAAAAATTTTTCCCCCTTGGGGAAAAAAATTTTCCCCCCCAAAAATTTTTAAAAGGGAAAAAAGGGGAAAAAAAAATTTTTTTTAAAATAAAAAAAGGGGAAATTTTTTAAAAAATTTTTTTTTTGGTTTTTTTTTAAAAAAACCCCCTTTTTAAAAATTTTCCCCCCCTTTTTACCCGGGTTTTTTTTTAAAAAAAAAAACCCCCCCCTCCCAACCCTTTTTTTTTTTTGGGGGTTTTGGGGAAAAAAAATTTTAAAAATTTCCCCCCCCGGGTTGAATAATTTTTTCCCCCCCCCCAAAAAAAAAAAAATAAAAAAAAAAAAATTTTTTTTTAAAAAAAATTTCTTAAAACCTTTTGGAAAAAAACCCTTTTTTTTTGGGGAAAAAAAATTTTTTTTTTTAAAAAAAAATTTTTTCCCCAAAAAACCCCCAAAAAAAAAAAAAACCCCCCCAAAAATTTTTTACCAAAAAAATTTAAAAAACTTTTTAAAAAATTTTTTTTAAAACCCCCCAAAAAACCCAAAAATAAAAAAAAATTTTAAAAAATTTTTAAAATTTTAAAAAAAAAAAAAAAAAATTTTTTTAAAAACCCTTTTTTTTTAAAAAAAACCCCCCCCTTTTTTTGGGGAACCCCCCTTTAGAAAAATTTTATTGGGTTTAAAAATTTTTTTTTTTTTAATTTTTAAAA